CGGATTATCTAATCTCGGAGTCCGACAGATTATTGAATGAGATTTTGGATCGTTAGTTCAGAACATAAGAATTCTGACTGCAATCATTTATTTATAAAGTTCATTCCAAATATGACTAAAATTAGATCATATTATTTATATCAAACTGAGTTTTTTTATTTTGGTAAGGAGTTAACAAATAGAGAATTAAAAGAGGTGGCAAAAAATTCATCTATAAGAACAATAATGACTTTAGAATCTGATGATAAAGAATTATTTGATGATTTTATTACTAATCATTCAAATGCAAATTTAACCACACCTCTTAGGAATATACAACATTTGTGTTAGAACCCAAACAAGTTGAGGAAGCTGTTAAAGGATTTATTAATCGGCACGACAAAAGTTACGTGTGACCGGAGCCGAAGTTTGTTTCAAAGTTGAAGACCCTACATTAGTAACAAGTTATCCTTTACGTGTTATCATTAATAATGTCTCCGGGTATGTTGTTAAAGTAGGCAGGGTGAAGACAGAACGTGAAAGCTGGATTCTTAAATCATTTACAGGGTTTAATGCACTTGCAACCAACCCACACACACCTTACCCAACAAAAGAATGGCTTCAACCAAGACGTTATAAGGCTCATTTAATGGGTACCATCTACGCTTACGATTATTTCGCCAAGCTATTAAAATACTATGGAATCGTGCATCTCATAATAGTTCAAACCTTAAATGTCCTAATGATGTTTTGGAAGCCAAAGAACTTGTGCTTGACGAGAATAATAATTTACAAGAATTGGAGAGAGCTTCGGGAACGAATTCATTTGGTATGGTTGCATGGATCTTTACTCTTTTTACCCCCCCCCCATATCCCAAAGGTAGAAAGATTATCGTGATTGCAAATGATATCACATACCACATTGTACTTTAGAAGATCAATTTTTCTACAAAGCAACCGAATTGGCAAGATCATTGAGAATATCTAGAGTATACTTGTCAGCAAATTCTGGTGCAAGGATTGGATTGGCGGAAGAAGTTATGAATCATTTTAACGTTGCATGGATTGATAAA